TATATGTCCCTCGACAGGCAGTCTTGTTGCCTAGCATAGGATGGTGCTGCCTATGGCAGCCTTGTGCACGTAGCAGTAGAAGCCAATCATCAACTGGATCCATGGCCAAGACATGCTATCACATCTATTTCCACAGGCTGCCCGCCAAGCTCGCGCACGGACCACTATCCCGGGACACATGATCCGTGCGTTGCCAGCTCAAACCTCATGAGTCATGGACCGCCTAAGCGGGTGAGGCCCGAGCCGCCACTCGCGCGTCACCACTGCCGGAAAGAAGCCTTTTGCATTGTGTGCTTGACGACGTGTCACGACTCTCAACTACCGCATGCCTATGCTACATACTTCGGTTATCACGAAGGAAAGACTAATGCTAGTCGCTGTTTTTGAAGCACAACCATTGGGACGAGACGAGAGTCAGGGAGAACACGGGACCTGATCGCCGATATTTAAAATTCTTTGCCTTGTGACATCTCGGAATTGACATGGACGATTTCACGACTTGTCGCGAGCGCCGAAACGCTGCGCACTGGACTCGTGGAATTGGGCGACGAAACGCTTTACCAAGTCAACTAAGTTAACTTAACTATGCCAAGTGCGATCCCCAAGTTCGGGTGTTCCATACCGACACGAATCTTGATAGCTTCTGTGAACGCGTACTAGAGCAAGATATGTTCTAGGCACCAGGCGTTGCCCCCTTGAAGTTGGATGCAGCCGTCATTATTGCAAACGAGGAAAAGCATCGCGTGCTCTTCCGAGACTTGATACGGACGGCATCACTGCGCCTTGTCAAGCACGGCGCCGTTCGCTGGAACTCCACCCTTCTGATGATTCGCCAAGCTCTTGAATTGAAGGACTTCATCATGTACATAGCGAAGTGGAAGAAGGCAGGCCCGAAGGATTACAACCTTGCAAAGGACGCCTTAAATGAAGACGACTAGCAAGAGCTTGGGCAACATTCACACCTTCTCCAACCGTTTGAAGAGGCCACAAAGACTCGACAGGGCAATGCAACGAATGGCACCTTCGGAGCGCTCTGGGAAGTAATTCCTACCCTCGATGGACTCCATTACCATATGCAGCAGTGCGAAGGTGTCACTTACGGCGAGGACAGTGAACATAGCGAAGCCTATCGATCAGGATCACGATTGGCCGACTACGACTCAAACAGGCAAGTTGGCCAAAAGAGACAGCTCCGGACGTGAAAGCCCCTCCCAGGGCCGTTACTTCGGAACGAAACTATTTGATGGTGAGAACGAGCCTGTAGCACACCTTCTGGACGTACCATACCTTCGGATGCCTCCTGAGAACCGGGCAGCACCAAGTGCGGCTGGAAGCACGGCAAGCTGCCAGATACGCATGACAGACTGAAGTGATTTCGGACCAAGGCCAGTGTCAACGGACAAGACCACGAAGAAGATGGAGGATTCTGACGGGTTGTCAGAAGATATGGTTAGAGCCAATATCTCCAATCGGCATTCGAAATACAATAATCAACGTACATTGCGTTAACTCATGTCTGACGGCACCGCCAACCGAGTCGCTACTCAATGATCCTACATCCTGCCCTACAGCATGTTCCTTGGAGCCAACGAGCCCCAGGTCTCAAAGATGCACGCGGGTTTGGCCATGCAGCTAGTTCCCTGAACTACGCAAATTCGTTGTCACTAAAATATGGCCCGATAACTACAGTACACACGGCAGGACTGTTGTTGCTTCCATAACTAGGTTCACAGCCGCCACTGTCGCAGCTCGAAGCCGAGATTCGCGTCAAACATTTTCCTTGCCACGAAAAGATCACGGTCTGTACTGGACGGTGGCAGCCGATGAGTAGTGGTTCTCACGGTGCCTGCCGCGAGTGAGCCGCCACCCATCGCTCATGACCAGTCCATTGATAGCCAGGTATGGGCAGACGCCGTCCTACATTGGCTTTGTCTTCGCTGCTGCTGCTGCTGCCACGGCCGTTGCAGGCAGTCAACGAATGCGAAGGATCGATTTTCCTCAACACGTGAGGCATCGACTGAACCAGCGTTCTCTTCAATCCCTTAATGAACATACTTCTCGATGTTGAATCGTCAGGTGCAGGGTAAGCATTATGTCGATGACGAGACGCTCCTGCAGCCACGGCTCCTCGTTGAGATCGACATGAAGTCAGAGAAGAGGGGTCACCCACATCCGTGCACAGCATGTAGAATAAACGTCCAACACACGAATTGGCTGCTCTGGGTGAGAAATCTTAGATAATGTAACCTGTGGTGTCAGTCTAGCCTTTGACACGTGTCAATATGCAATCCTGATGTGCCGCATGTGGTTATTAACGCGGCTTTACGGCAGGAAGTCTCAGCCGTTGCCTCAGGCCCCCCCGCAAATCCTCTTGCAAGGTCCAAAGAGATATGTATCGAAGTGTCGCAAGGTCTCCATCTATCGCACCAGACAGGTCTCGCACCAGACAGGTCTGTTCATACCGCTTCTCGGTCTTTGTGTGTTTTTGGTCAGACTTGGATGGATCCTTGGTCAAGGTCCACATAATGAACTTTCTCCGTCAGCACGCCCGCCACTGATACTGTCGATTCTGATCACAAGTTGCAATGCATTCCCAAAAAAGAGCACCGCTCATCAAACAGAGCTGCGACGCCTGCTCTTCTGCCAAGGTCCGATGCTCCAAAGACGAGTTGGCCTGCTCCCGCTGTCGACAAAAAGGCTTCACCTGCATCTACAGTGCTTCACGACGGGCTGGTCGAAGGAGTACTGTCCATCTCGTGACCAGAGCTGGTCAACAAACCGAAGACTCCTATTCAACCCCATTTTCGCCGTCTTTGGACTCCTCTCCTCTGTCGAAAGCCTCTTCGCTCAGCCGGTCGCTTGAAGCAGAACCACAATGCTCCACTTTCGGCCAAGATACACACTCGGAGTCATTTGATATGTTCAACGCCCCGTCGACAGGGGTGCCACAGTACGCCGCGCAGATAAGCCCTTTTTCGATTTCGCAAGACAGTCGTCTGAGCCAGTACGCGTATACAACGAATGGCACAAGCGGAGGTGCACCGCCGTGCGCGGTCATGCAACCATCTTGCGACATCCTTGACATGTCCTACCCACAAACTACCGCGCTGGGCATGGACACTGTGACAAATCTGCGAGATCTGGGAGACCTTGACGACCTGAGTGGATATTCCGACACCTCGTCTGGATCCGGCGGCACTCTTGCGGAATGCGAAGCAGTGCACAACGAGCTTGCTAGCCTCAGCAGCCTCGCTGAGAGCATGGAGAGGAAATTCGACGTTATAGTAGGCGAGCGCCTCCAGTATAGAGACCTGTACACGGAATTTGGCATCCCAATCGACGCGATCGAAGCAGATTGTCATACACATCTACTACCCGGTACACAATGCGCCAGCCCCATGGAAGCAATGCTATCTCTGGAACCTGTTCAGATTGGTGGCCCAGGATTCCGGAGGCCCAGTGTCAACGAAATGGGATTTTACATGAGTCTCGCGGAGTTGAAAAGGAGGCTGAGGTGGATGAAGGAAGATCTAAATCATGTCGTAACCGCGTGAGAGTCGCTACGAAGCGTCGACACCGTATCCACTCACATTCACGGCGACATGGTGATGTGTCATACTGGAAATTCGAGAGCGGAGAGATCAAGCTTGAGGCGTGAATCCGTCAGCAATTTTTAACGTCCGTCGGACTTGACCCCTTGGTCAGCCCGGGTTTCGGAGAGGCTTTCCACGGCTCAATATGTGCCGCGAAAGATCAGAGCCAAATTTCGACAAGTGTGGCATTGTGCTGAACTGGAGCAGACGCCGATGATGGTAATGCAGCGCCGACTCAACATACATAAAAAGGGGTCATTCATCATATGCTCCATGCTTCACTTCGCGTCCTCCCGTCTAGCAAGGGGTGCTAGCGGTGGTATAAACGCAATTCAGAGGTACTTCTGCTTCATGGGTTGTTTATCGCATCTCAGAAAGGATTTCGTCGAGGTGTTCTGTCTTTTGTGATAGGTAGCGTGATGCGTCTCTCTAGGTCAGACGGGTATCAAATGAGTGATTTGGAAGTGTGATTCTCGTCTATTCACGTTAACGTGCGGTACAGCTCTGCAAATAGACCTAAAGCGGCTCGCTTGCCAGGTGACATCTGCGACAATCATTCAGCGCGCGAATGTGCTTGGCTGAACTTCTTCGACACGATGCATGCTCACGGAAGCAATCGCTCGCTATGCGAGGAATATCAAGTCTTCACCTGGTTTCGATTTTGTGATCATAGCTCTACGTGCGGTCGCCCAAATGTACGAAGATAGTCTCAACAGCCTGACTCAAGTTGTTGGTGCCGACCGGCCGGCCGAGCCCAACGGGACGTCTCTCCATGATGCTGCATCAACGAGTGTAGATCAATATTCCGACCTGACCGGTAGCTCAAGACTTACCAGGGGAAAGATGTATTGCACAAGAGCCGCCTCGTAAGCACAATTAACGCACGATCCTACTCACGCTTCGCAACAACGATATTGGCCTTTCGGGAGTTGATGGAACATGTCGAAGATTCTGTCGACCATGCCTCGTCAGCGCCAGGTCAAACTCCATGCCAGGGCATATAACCATTGGAGTTCCAAAGCAAAGACTGTTACAGGAGAATTTTGAAATTACTGACATTGTAACAGCTCCGAGATTTTGCCACGTCAACAAAATGATAGTAAGCGATTATAAGGAGTTCACCAGAGTGTCGAGAGTAGTACAACACCTCGAAATAGATTTACAACCGGCAAGTCTACATCCAACATTCGAAATATATCTCATTTCAAAGCCGGTACATCTATACTCCCACACAGGGCTATAATGATTCGGTACACAGCGCCGACACGTTGTGCCGGTGCAATTGTCGGATTCCTCGCTGTTAGCGAAAAAATGAAGGCCCAGAGATGAGGCATCTTGCAAGACAGGTCAGACGAATGGCGCAGGTAGTACAGATCGCTCCTGAAACTTACGTTCTTCCGGGCTTGTTGCATCAACTCCTCTTCACGGCGACTTTGAACATCGGATAGATCGGATTTCAGAGATGCGTCCAAGAGAGTAGAGAGGCTTGCACTTTGTCGAAATGTCCTAATTTCTTCCATCAAAGTTTCCTCGGCGCCTCGCAAAAGCTCTACTTGAAAACCTCGCCGCTCCCACTCATTCCAACCCTGTGCCGCGTAGTACGAGGATGAGAGGACCTGCGGCAGGCGTCTACTTCGACTTAACCAGGAATCATTCTGATCCAAGTTGTTATCATTGCTGCTCGTTGTATAGTAAATGGTGACCATCTCATCGAATGTATCGAAGCCAACAGTTTTGGCTTTTTCGAGGAGGAAATCGATGCGATTCTCAATCGGGAGGTCTCCTAGGGTACCACTCGCAGGGGTATTTGCTATGTGTGGGTCAACGTCCCCATCTTCTAACTTCGGTGTCTCAAGACTTTGAGAAGCATAGTCAGCCGAGTCTCCTAGGCTGGCTAGTGACAACAAATCATTCGCAGGCTCAGGAATCTGCATCGCGCCAGACAGCGCTAGTGGGCTTTCGCCACACTCAGGGAGGACGCCTTCCCGGATGGGTGCGACACTGTCTGATTGAAGACCAGTGGACAACGTGCCTTCATCCCAGGTACCCATCCAACCGCTCTCGGCGGAGATAACATCGCGCATCTCGCGGTCATGGGTATGGGACTGCCCGTGAACGGCTGGTGATTCGCCTGTGCTTCCTGTAAAGTCGGCGGCCGTGTAGCTGTTGCGCAGTGTCGTGGCCGGTCGGATTGACCCAAGGTTCTCGACCTGCGAACCAAAGGGTCAGATTGAGTACGCAACAAAAGCTACAACCGAGGAGAAGGTTTACCTGACTATCTAGCACCGGCAAAAATTCGAGTTCGTCAATTTCCAAAGGATCGTGACTTCGACTTTCAGCTCGCTCCGAGCGTCCAGCTTGATCAAATTCACCCGTCACAGTGGCGGGTTTCGCAGCCACATCCATTGCGTCTTTATGCCTTCGGTGCGTCTCAACTATCGTCTGCAGCTCTTGCAACCGCACTCGTGGACGATGACCTGGTCGTACCGGCTGGTAAGCATCATCATCCCACTTTGCGTGAGAGGCATTATGGGTACGTACGGTACATTCTCACGCGGAGAAGCCTTGGCGTTTGAGCTTGCTGCTGAACTTCCGGAGCTTCTCTGCAATCTGCAGAATCCTGAAATTAAAGTCAACGGCCAGCGGCGAACAGTGCTACCAAGCATAGGTGGCGGGTGGCGAAGATCGAACGATGGTCGTCTCACGCCTTTTGCAAGGCAAGCACGACATGGTGCTTCGGGCGGCAGGAAGTTCAGCAGAAGGGCAAGTGTAAATATACTGATCGGCGATGTCTGGGTCTTACGTGAAGATTGAGGGCTATGCGCTCTAAGCAAAGGCGAATGAGGCTGAGGGAACGTGAGCACCTTACTTGCAGGGTCGTTGAAAGATGGGCGGTCATCAAGGTCGATGTGGGCCAAGGACGTGTTGGAACGTGATTCAACTCAACGTTCACTGGTTCTCCACAAGAGTCGAACAGGTCCGGCCGGTGCGAGACCTGTACGACTCTCGAACGCTTTGGAACTAAAGTGGTGCCAACGCACGGGTCGACCGGAGGCCACGAGTGTTGGCCGGCCGTAGCGAGTTACCATTCGTGTGCCTAGCATGCTGCTTTATCGAGGTCCCTTGACCTGTTTCGTCCAATCCAACAAGATCACATCATCTTTCGACTAATATGATAAATTGGACTTCAGCTCAGGCCTCCAGTCTAGCTGCCCATTATCACCACCGAACTCAAAACACTGTTGCTTCGCTCGACGCTCTACAATCACCTGATACGTCCGATCGGGAGCACGCTGTTCTCCTGTTTTCAATGAAATATCATGCGTTTGATGTTTTCTGACGACGAAGACTGACATCGATTGAACGTGGAAGGCGACTGTTTGGTTGGGGGATACCATACATTCGCTAGCGCTCATAGCGCTTACGCGGCCTCAGAAGAACCCCGCAGCTCGGCATATACTCGTTACGTCAGTAGTCCATACATGATATTTTAAGGGGAATTGAAGCCATTTAATGCCGTACCCGATTGTTAACCATATGGGATTGATGATTGACATCTTGAAGGATGAAGGTTCAGAGGATAGAGAGATGTCGCAGGCTAAGGCACTTTGGGAACACCAGTCGAGAGTGCAGAGCACGCTTGCCAAGACACTAGATAGTTGAGCCCGGTCCACCCGGCCGCG